GGGGGGGGGGGTGGCGTGCGCGGGTGAGGGAGGGGGCGCGGGCGGTTGGATGGTGTCAGTGGCATGAGCGTCAGGGGGGCTGTAGCAGGCGTGAGGAGTGGAGCGTGGTAGCGGAGGACAGCAGGGCGGTGGGAGGCAGGGGAGCAGAGGACGGCTGGGAGGGGCTGCTGCCGTCGGCCGGCGCGACCGAGCGGCCCCGCGTCGCCCCGCGCTCTGCAGGAGGGCGAGCTGCGCCCGCAGCTGCTGGACCGCTTCGGCATGTCGGTCAACGTCAAGACGCTCATGGTGGGCGCAGCGGCGCAGGGGGGTCGAGCGAGGGGTGCGCCTGGGTGCCGTCCACGAGTCCGGCAGAGCTGCGACTGTGCACGGGCGCCGTGACCCGTCTGCAGGCCCCCACCTGCTGGGCGGTCCCCCGGCTTCGACCGCCGGGCGGCCAGGTCGGCCTTGCACATCGCCCTGCTGCCCTCGGGGCCCGCCGCACACCCGGCGTTGGGGCGAACCCGTCCGCCCACTCAACCTCACGAGCCTCATGCACGCACACCCACGGGGTTGCCATAACAGGACGTGGCGCAGCGCACCCAGATGGTGCTGGACCGCATGGCGTTTGAGGCCGACCCCGAGGCTTTCCTGGAGAGCTGCAAGGCGGAGCAGGACAAGCTCACAGACAAGCTGCTCTCCGCACGCAGCAGGCTGACAAAGTGGGCGGTTGTCGCGCGACGCGAAGCGCGCCGCGCCGCCGGTGGGGGCGGGACGGGGCGGCTGCCAGGGAGCTGCTGCTCTGCGGGCGGGCGCCGCGGCAAGGGCGATGGTATGATGGGCTTGTCGCGCGTTGGCCGTCCTGACAACCCCCTCTCGATGCCCCCGCTTGGCCCGTCTCGCGCGCGCTGTGCAGGGTGAAGATCTCCAAGCAGCTGCAGATCTTGATCTCTGACATCTGCTCGCGGCTGGAGGTGGGGTTTGGGGCAGGAAGGGACGGGTCAAGCGGGTCGGGAAGGGGTGAGAGTTGGCCCAAGGACGGAGGGCGGCAGCAGGGGCTCACGCGGCCTCCCGCGGGGCAAAGGCAGGCAGGACCGCTCCTGATTGGCGACGGCGTGGCGCGGCGCGGCGGCGGCGGCGGCCGCCTGGGTGTGAAGCGGTGGCCCGGCGCGGCGAGGCCGGCCAACAGCCGGGGCAGCTCCCTGGCTCTGCCTCTGAGCATGACCTGGGTTGCTGCCCCTCCCACACAACCACCCACCTTCCACCAAAGTTGCACCCCCGCGTTCCTGGCAACCCAACTTTGATGCCTCATTTTTAGGTTGACGGCCTGCGTGGCGACCTGGTTGTGAACCGCGCGGCCAAGGCGCTGGTGGCGTTTGAGGGGCGCGACACGGTGACCCAGGATGACGTGGCGCGCGTCATCAGCAGCTGCCTCAACCACAGGTGGGGTGCCAGGCGGGGCTGGGGCCCCGTGGGCGGGAGTGGCACGTGCGCGCGGGGACGCGGTGCGGCGGTCGTTGGTCTGCAGCTTGCCCAAAGCCGTCGCGGGCAAGTGAGTGTGAGGTTGTGGCAGTGGCGGTCTAATCACTGTGTCAACGTGCGCCGCCGTTCTTCACGCCTCTTGCCTCCCTCCCCCACACCCCGATCCCCAAAACTATCTATCCACCTGCCCCGGCCCCCCCTTCACCTTGCGCCACCCCAGGCTGCGCAAGGATCCCCTGGACCCGATTGACAGCGGCACCAAGGTGGCGATCCTCTTCCGCCGCCTGACCGACCCCGAGTTTGTGAAGCGGGAGGAGGAGGCGAAGAAGAAGAAGGCCGACGCGGAGGCCAAGGCGGCGGCGGCGGCGCCCAAGAAGGCGGGCGCGTGGGGCGGGCTGCCGCCGGCGGTGAGGAGATAGGGCTGCCGCGGCGGCGGTGGCAAGTGTTTTCGCAGCCATGGCCGTTTTTCTTATCCATTTTTGACTTGGTCTGTTGTTCATTTTGTGAGCGTCCACATGCAAGCCTGGTGTAACTATACTAGTGCCTTTGCAACCTCGGGCGGTTTGGGGCTGGGAGTTCTGTGGTCGTCGATCTGTTCTCATCTCGGTGATTGACAGACCGGGATTTCAGAGGCGGTGTCCGCCACGTTGGTCGGTCAAACGACGAATGCAAGGTGCAGTGAGGCGCCTCCCATGGGTGTGTCCACCTGGCACGGGGGAGTGCTGGCATGACTCGGTTTAACCGTGGCAATCACACGCAGCAGCCAGACGCCCTGACGCCTGCGACGCAGGGTTGCCTCTATATGGAACCTCACAGGTTTGGACCACGAAAGCGGGCGGCGACAGCCTTACAGCAAATTGCAGGCATCCCCCGCTCGGCTCCAGAGGCAACGAGCAGGATCGCTGCACCAGCAGGGGTGCCGCGGACGCCTGCGACCCCTGCCCCAGGCGGGCGCGGGGCTGCCTAAAGAGGCAAGGGCTGGGTACCGAGCGCACCCGGGGTTTCCCGCAGCCCGTGTTGTGGAGAATTTGCGCGGCTGGGCGAACAACGTGGCCATGACAAGGCAAGCAACCAAGGCGAAAACCAGGGCACGGGAGGGTGCAAATGTGTGATATGTACACCTTGAATAAACCTTACAAAGTATGTGACATAGCATGTCATGAACTTATCAGGGCGTGAAAACGCGCAGCAACGCAAAAAGATGGATTGCGGGCATACAGATACATGTTATGCGTGGTTCCAGGACGGCCGACACATAGAGCAATCAGAGCCTGGTTGTGGTTGCCAGGGCGGCCGCAGATTACTACAGCAGGTTCACACATTATTGTATGATATAACAGCAGTAGTAATCAAAGGGGACTTTCTGCCCAAGACTTCAAGCCCACACAGGGGCCGCCCCATCCAACCCCTCAGCAGCTGGTGGGGGTCAGAGGGGAGCCCGCGTGCGTGTAACCAACTACATCGCCCCGTAACCAACTCCAGTCTGCGTGCAACTGACTGCAATGCCGTGTGACCGTTATTGGTCACACGGCATGCAATCGATTGCACTGCCGGCCACCCGGTCGCACGCAGTCCGTGTGCGACTGATTGCAACGCCGTGTGCCCGATTACATCGCCCTGCCCTGTAACCGATTGCAGTCCGTCTGCGACTGATTGCAGCACCGTGTAACCGCAACCGCAAGCTAGGCAGCACGCAGGCCCCACCCCCTGGCGCTGCTGATGCCTCTGCGGCATCGCATCGCAGCACCTGTCACCTGACCGCGGAACCACCACACCAGATGCCCAGCACCTTTGCGTCACATCAGCAACAGATCCGAGGGGTTCGTTTACACACGCCGCCGCGCCCGCGTCGTGCAAGCAAGTTCCGCCAACTGGCAGGTATCACGACGCAGCGGTGTTATTATAAATAGAGCCAGCGAGGGCCAAGCGTGCGCGCAAGCGGCCGCTGCTTTAAGGGTGAAGGTAAAGGTTGTGTCACCATTCCCTGCCTGTAGGCATTGCTGCCCCTGGGGGCCACGCGCCACTGGATGACGGCGGCATTTCGAAGGGGTGTGTTCCCAATTTTGTGGTAATGGGTAAAACGTTGCAAACCCAACAACCACCCATACAGGGACACGGCGCGGCATATGCACCCGTCACAGCCACGAGCGATTGCCGTACGTATGTACATGTGGGTCAGTAGTAGTTCGCTCAAGTGCGACCTGGGGCCCCCCTGTACACACAGGTGGTTCCCCTTCCTCCGGTTTTCCCGGCAGTTATTAGTTGTTGGTTGCAGCTAGACTGCTTGGATTGGGTGCGCCATGTCCCGCACCAAATACTGGGACATTGGCTTGCAGCAAGACTTGAACCCATGACCACAAGGCTCACAAGCCCGCGCCTGGACCACTAGGTCACGTGTTTACCCTCCCGCTGGAGCCAGCTAGTGTCTACTTGCCGCGCTGCTGCTGCTTTTGCTGGGGCTGCTGCTGTTGCTGCTGCTGGTGGTGGTTGGTTTCATGATAGGTCTTGAGCACGATCTCCCCGCCCCTCTTGGCAACCTCGGTTAGCGCCGGCTCCAAAGATGACGGCAAGCGGGGAAACCAAGGCTTGATGGCTGCCCGTAAACCTCGCTGCTGCAGAAGTGCCTGCCGCGGTTCGACGCGCTGCAGGCCCGCGGCGCTGGCATCGGCTGGCAGGGGGGCAGCGAGTGATGTGGTGGCGTGCGCCGCCACGACCAGGCAGATGGCTGGGGGGGGGAGGAGGAGGAGGACGGGGGACGGGGGAAGGGCCGATTGCGGCCGCAGAGTTGCGGGTCTAGCTTACTTGTCGCGTGCGCCCCTCGGAGGGTCATCGAATACGCCAACTCGGTTCCGACATTCCCGGTCGCGTCTGTAAGCTCTGGAAATACTTGATACATACAAGCCCAAGCCTGAGGACACCGGCTTGCACAGGAGCGTGTGACAGCAAAAGCGCAGGCCGTGACTCGGTGGCAGCGCCTTCATGCGCCTGATGGGCCTCACCCAGCAAGACCAGCGAACGGGGCGCCATCATGAGCTGGGGGTCTTGTACGCGGTTGCCTCCTCCTTGCCGGGTCTGATGTCACGAGGGCCTGCTGTGGTGTGTATATAGAGCAAAAGCCGTGAGGTGTGGCATGGGTTTGGCAACGAGCCAGGAGCGTCTTTGGCAAGGGTGACTGTCTGGGGTGCGAAGGGTGGTCATGAGGGGAGAGTGATTTTTTCACCCACATGCTCAGGTTGGATGCGCGCACCGCCGTGGAGAGCCCACATGTACTGTCCTGCACAGCCAGGGCGGGCTGCCACCACACTCACTTAGCGCTGCAGCAGTCAAGAACAGTGGCAACCTGTGCACCCCTCCCCCCCACCC